ATATACCTGGATGACTGAGAAAACAAACTTTGTGTCTGGTTTTAGTTTAACAAGTGTGAAGGGTTTCTCACTGATCCTCTTGATTTAAAAATAATAATACAAGAGCAAGAGAAAGAAAAAAAAACTACCAGTATTCTCGTTTCTAAAAACAAAAACCTATATTTTCTACTTTTATTACCCAAGTATGAAATCAAGCTAAACTCAAAGTATCACTTCAAGAGGCAATGCTAAAAAACACATGGTTAGCTCACCAGTATTCATCGTCATGAGCATTAACACCATGTTCTTACATTACATTTAACTCAAGCTAACTGAATGTGGTTTGTCCAAGAGAAATCACAGGAGCTGAAACTCATGGGCTAAACTTTCGGCTCCGCTGCTGAGGGAGTCCCCTCCCCCACCGGCCCAGTTCAAACTTTGTCCTGGCAGTGAGCGCTGCTGTTTTCACACCAGAAACCGTTTCTCACGTCTGCTCCCCTTTCTTTAGAGTTGTCAGCCTGGTTCTTCATGCGTTTGTGTGAACACTAAAGGCTGCTCGATTCCCTCCCACAGCCAAGTTTTACATCCCACCTTCAACCTTTTTATTATCGTTTTTAATTTTAAGAGTTTTGAGCTGGAAATGCAGGCCAGCGAAGGGGCTGGCTGTGCTGGATAAAAGGAGCTTGTGTTTCCCTGCCCTGATGGTCCTTCCTCCCCTGTCCAGAAACCACAAGGCTGAGCTTTTTGCTGCGCTCGCTGTGGGAGGAGCTGTGGATCCGAGCCATGAAAGCAAATGTCTGCTGACGTTGAGCCGTGCCAGGTAACCATGACAAGAGCCAGCAGATCAAAGGACAGGTCCCTTATCTCATTTAACTGACTTTTTCAGCAAAAGTAACAACCGTTTCTCATATGGCAGGTTTCTATTATTCATAAATATCACAAGTGGAACGAACACGAGGAGTTCAGGCAGCGTGAGAGGAACAAAGTTTCACTGTGAGCATTATAATGATGCGTTTTGACATTTACAGTAAATATTGTTGACGCATCTTGTACTTTTTATCATAGCTGAGCAACTAAAGTCTCGCAGTTTGCAGAGGAAATTGTTAAACGCGACAAAAACTGCACATATTCCACATAAGAGTTTTGTATCTATATTCGCATGAAGTCTCCATGACAGAAAAAAAGTCATTTCATTAAATTCTCCCTAAATTAGCTGTAGTCAGACAGACGGGAAATTAATTTAGCACCATAAAAGTCAATATGACCCGCTGCTGAAAAGTAAGAAGCAGAACAACAGTTTTTGCGTATGACTGTATGTGAGTGGGTGTGCATGCATGTGTCTGTTAAATTTCACAAACACTGAACATATTTGTCAAACAAACGTGACATCAAGTTTTTCTACGAAATGTCAACGCATTCTTGGAACAACATTTATAATGTATTGCAAAATAAATAAATAAAAAATCCCACTGCTGAGATGAACAGTTGAGCTATTCGCATGAGCAACAACAGGAAGTGATGTCAAAGGGGAACGTCTGCATGTGAACAGAGCGTTGCTGCAACGGCTCAACAGTTTGAGAAGAATCTGGGATTTATTTAAATGATTTTGAGTCACTGTCAGAAAGAGATAAAGAAGAGTCAGGGATCAAATTATAATGTTTCAATAAATAAAAAACAGGAAGTTCCCCTTTGATTTCACTTCCTGTTTCACCAAGTTCAAAAGAAATATACCAGTTATGTGCCAATTTAAAACCATTTAACTTTAGGAGTCAGCTTGATTCAAAATGGCCAACATAGCTATTTAACTTTTTAAAGAGACAAAAATATCTCAGTCAAAAACAGTCGTTTTTAGAGATATTGACTTTAATTTAGGTGCGGTAGTAAATGCTAAATGGACTGTACTCACGTAGCAACTTTCTATCTTATCAAGATACTCAAAGCTCTTTACAACACAATCTGTGCCTCATTTACCCGTTACAGCACTCTACTAGATTTATTAGTGGTGTAATGGTACATGTGGGTGTTTTGAACCGTTTTGGTTAATTTTTCATTAAATTTTATTAACGAGATTATGCGCCGCGGAACTAAAGTTCCTACGAGTGTTTCAGCACGGCGCTATTATCTCGCAGCACGTGCAGCATTAGCATTCTAGCTTGTCGTTGTGGTCTCCTGTTGGGGAACATTATGTCTTTCTTGTTAAAAGACAAGTGAACAAATCCAGAGCTGTGTGTCGACGTTGTTTCACGGAGAGTGGATCTGCAGCAGCAACACGTCCAACTTGTTAAGGTGCTTGAAACAACATCATTCGAACGTGAACGTAGTTTGGTGCAAACATCGATAACAGCAGCATTTAAACAACCTTTATCAGGTACTTCAGATCGGTCCAGAGCAATAACACAAGCTGTAAGAGTTTTTAATGCTCTGGATCTATGTCCGAATTCTGTCGTTGATACGCCGGCTTTAAGCATAAAGTTCTTCAGCCCCGCTACGACATCCATCACGTCAACACTTCAGCCAAAAATGTTGTAGCAGCATTTTATGAAAAAGATAAAACTGATATCATCAACAAGCCCTGGACCAGATTAAAGCCCTGGACCAGATTAAAGCCCTGGACCAGATTAAAGCCCTGCCCTGATGATGATAAACGAGAGATTCAACCACCTCATGTGATGACCGTGCAAGAAGAGGTATTGTATTATTGATCTAATTAACTTTTTTAATTTAAAATCATAATCTTATTAACTCAATTTTGTTTTTATCTCTGTGTTGTTTGCAGTCTGAGGATGACAGCAGCTGAGTCCTCTTCATCCACCACATCACCTCCAGCTAAGAAGTCTGTAATGACTGAACTTGTTTACTTGGCATATTTTCAAAATAAACATTTTGTAAGTCTTTATTTTGGCCTTTTTTGTAACGAAAATTAACCGAACCGAGCCCTCCTTGAAACTGAACCGAAATGTGATTTTAGCGTACCGTTACACCTCTAATATTTAGACAAAGAATAATCAGAGCTTTATCACATTCATACACTGATGGGACACACATCGGAGGCAAAGAGGGGTTCAATGTCTTGCCCAGGGACACTTTGGCATGTGACTGCAGGTGGAATTGAACCCCCAACACTTACACTGGAGGACGACTGATCTAAACACTCAGCCACAGTCGCCCCTAGGTAGTAGCTAAAACAGATCCCTAACAAATTATGAGCAATAACAGATTGGGAATAATCAATGGATTTACCTCTACAACTCAGTTCAAGATGGCTGCTACAGTTAATCCACATTATCCAACAAAAAAAGGCTCAGTCAGTTTTACAAATCATGCCTGAGAGTCAATCAGAACATATTCTGAGCATGAAACTGTCCATAACTACGTCTTAAACATTGGACCAAAGCAGAAACAAATCATTCCTCAACATAAGATGATCTTAGGCTAAATCTTCAGCATTAAAACACAACAGGCAATCTGTATTTCTTCCTTTGATTTTAAAAGAAAATGAAGGGTGACATTTCGCTCGGATCTTTATGACCAAGCAGCCGTTCTGCACTGAGAAATCACTATTCTCCCACCAACCCACGGCTCTTCAGAATGGATGAACGAGGCAACGTTGATGAACAACAGGGCCTCTCAGAGGGCCATCTTGTCCCTGCCAAACTGCAGACTGCTTGACAACAAGACTGCCATCGTCATCCCCCTTTTGCAGCTACGTATTTGTGTCTGATGCCCCCCCCCACACACACATCCACGTTATGATCAGAGCTCCACTGCACACAGACCAAGTTCAGAAAAAACTCAACTCTTTCTGCAGAATAAACACACAGAGCCACTTCCTTGCGATTCAAACTTGCGTCTGTCACACTCTATTAGCTTAAAACTTTGGAAGAGCATATGGCGCATAAGATTATAAACACCCGTCTCAGCGGTGCTCCCAAACTGCGTCTGTCTGAGCACTTACTGTAGAGGCTACATGAGGATTTGGACAGATACAGAGCAGAAGAAATAATCCACCTATTCTCACACGGTTAGCATCCAGCTCCAGTTTCACACATCTATAAATCTACTGTTGAACGGGACATTTAAATCACTGTGCAGACTCCACTCAGATATTCTTCTCTCCGCAGGAAAAGGGCAGGAAGCACGTGCTGATATAGTGGTTTCCTTATTGCTTCCTATTTGCCTGTTGCCTTACTCTGGCTGCAATTTGGCAAGAAACAACAGGAAGCCAGAGAAACATCATCTAACGTTAAACCAACTGCGAAAACTAAACAAACACAGACGTCTGTGTAAAACAGCTGAAGAAAAGGCAGCAACTGTTGCCTTGATCCACTTTTTGTCCCCGGTCTGTTTTAAATGTAGCTCGTTTCTCAAAAATATCTTGGAAAATCACTGCCGGCCCAACAATCTTTGAATGACTGCATGTCGCCCACCACCTTTCATGCCAGAGTGTTAGTGAACTATGTGCTGTAATGACTCTCAGCTACTACCACACCAGGTGTTAGCTCAGTATCTGTCAAATTAACTGACTTGCACACATTTTTGTGTTTTCCAAGGCCCGTTTACTGATTAAATGTCATATCTTCTTACTTTCTAAGAGTTAAAAAAAAAAGGTTCAAGAAATATTTTACTAATGCTACAGAACGCGTGCGCGTTCATGGAGATAAAAACACCTTCACTGGTGGCCGACTGAACAAACAAACAGAAATAGATAAATCCAGCAGCTTTCAACATGTCCAGCTAAAATATTCCTTGGATATGAAGCAGAAAACAAAACCCAAGTGCTGTGGTGTGCTACACCAAGCTACACCAAACTACACCAAGCTGAAGGAGTAAGAAGTCTTAAGTAGGAGAGGATTTCAGCATCAAAGCCATGCGGCAGCTGTCACCAAGCCAAATTACTCGCAGGCAGGGTAACCAAGACAAGCCTGCTGAGTAACAAACAGCAGGTTTATCTCAGAGTAAATAAACCAAGGGTGGGGGGCGGGGGGTTACAATGATGACCCTGTGCAACAGCTGAAACTTACGTCTACGTCAAAGAACTCCTGAGAGTCGTCCAGTCCTTGCACGCGGATCTGGAGGCCTCGCCCGTGGCTTTTGCTCCCGCTGACCACCATGTTGCCACTGAGGCTTTGGCCTGGTTCCAGGGTGCTGATCCCAGGGTTGAACTGGGCACCCAGTCTTGTGCCGGGGGTCTGCAGGACCCGGTAAGAACCCTCTATCTCCCCCATACCTCCTTCAAAGCTGCCCACTCCTGCAAACTCAGAAAAACTCAATCAAACACAGCAACAAAAGAAAAAAAAAATCAAAATGTTCAGCTCGTTCAGAAAATTGCAGCCAAGACTTTTGACATTAATAACTTCAATTTTTAATTTCTATAACTTTACCTTTTCCTTCATGGAAATTAATTCTTCAAATAAGACACAGCATTTTTAGCTTTAAGCTACTGTTCGGCTGGTTTTAGCTTTTGGCCTTTCTTTTGCAAGTTATAGCTTTCAGCACTCCTTCAAATTTTAGCTTTTAGCATTTGCTCTGCTCATTTTAGCTTTTAATTATAGTTTAGCTATTTATTTCCTTTTCACTGATTTAATAATCATAATTTTTGCAACTGTTCTGCTGGTTTTAGCTCATTTTTAAGTCATCTTAGCCACTTGATTTCAGCTTCTGTAACACATTTTAGAAGTCAACACTGAGTCTTCAGTGTTTTCACAGAGAAATGCACTTTTTTGTTTCAATAAACTGCACAAAGGTCTCAAATGTGCAGAAAAAATAAGAATATGACCACTTTTGTTGCGTTTGGGCCTCAGCTAAGTCAGCAAGGTGTGCTGGTTTGTTCTGAACGTCCTTCTAATGAGATAAATATGAATAAAGGAGGAAAACAAAGTGTTAAACATCCACACTCACTTCTTTTTCGATGTGAAAAGTGGCACTAACTCGGTATAAATTCACCGAGGAGAAGCGAACCGAACTTTAAATCCATAATCAAGTTTTCGTTCATCAAAAAGTGCCTCTTGTTTGAACAAAACACATAAACGCGTCTGTAAAGTTGTTTCCAACTTACCGTCAATGCCCGAAACGATGGAAAAACCTTAAAAGTTTGGAGCACGGAGGAAATCTCTCCACTCCATGGTCGTCAGAGTGAATGCGCACTCAGGCTGCGCTGTGATTGGCTGAAACCGGCGCATGCGCACTGCCATGGCTCATCGCTGGGCAGCGCAGATTGACCTTCTTTTACTTTAAATAGCTTTTAAGAATGAGAGGCAGCACGGCCCACTGATAAACACGTCTTACTTAATTTGTCACGAGAAAAGTTTTTCAATGTTTATTTCACATCAGATCTCTCATGAGGTAATTAACAGTTTAGTGTATTTTGCTGTCTCTCCTCGAGTAAAATGAATTTATTGCCATATTTTTTCAAACATAAACAATGCATTAGCGATTTTTAAAACTTCACTACTTATATGTCTTGCATTCTGGGTTCAGTGTCTTACAATCAGCACTACAAACGTGCAGTTGTGGAAAGGTTAAAGGTGTTTTTTTAATTGTAGTAGTGCGCCCCCTGGTGGTCATGTGACTCTGACAAACGGGCTGCGTGCGCATGTTCGGGTCGGACGCACACTTTTGACCTGCCTGACTGTGCGTACCACTACGCAAATCCTTTCAATCAGTATCAAAGTACAAAATACTGAAACACGTATAAATGCACCAAAATACGAAGCCATTTGTTTCTCTGAACTCCAACTTATATTTTTTCGAATATGTTTTTTTTTTCATTCATTCATTCAAACTTTATTTATACAGGTTAGTGTCATTGAGCCCCGAGGACTCATTTACATGTGAGACCTGTTTTCAACAAGAATAGACAAGCATGTAAAAAGCATATAAAATGAAAAGTAAATAGAATAAATGATATAAAAACAGAACAAAAACAGCTACATTATAAAGCAATATAAAATACTAAAAACAGGATCATGTTTGTGTTGGTTTTTGTCATGAACTTAACAGTTGTTTAAAGTCCCTTAGAGAGGTCAAGGTCGAGAGCTTCAGATCTTTTTGTAAGATATTGCAGGAAAGAGAAGCGGAGTAGGAGAAGGCCCTTTGTTCAGTCTGCACTGAGGGAACACTGCAGGCTCAATGACACAACCTGTATAAATAAAGGGTAAATGAAATAATGTCCTGAGAGTGCACGCTGTAGCTGCACTCACGCAGAGACATGTAGGAGGAGATGTATGAAGGCAGCAGACCAAGAAGTGATTTAAAGATGAAAATGTACCAGTGAGAGAGTCTGCGTGAAGTTAATGATATCCAGTTAACCAGTGATTACAGGGTGCAGTGGTGGGTACGATAATCAGAGCCAGTTATGAATCTCAGTGCACCATGATAGACAGCATCCAACATCTGCAGGGTTCTTGTAAGAGCGTTCATGTAAATAATGTCACTGTAATCAATGGAGGGAAGGAAGGTCATAGTTACAAGGTGTTTCCTAGCATTCAGAGTTAAACAGGATCTGTTTCTGAAAAAGAAACCCACTTTCAATTTCTTTACCAAGTTTTCGACATGAGGTATAAAGAGAAATACGAACTGCCCAAGATACCCAAGTATTTATTGGAATCGATAAACTCAATAGGAACCATTCAAAGATCAAATAGAAGGAAGGACTGCTGGTACCAACTTCCGTTAAAGCTGAGTGATGGACGGTTGAATGAATGAACGGTTTAAAGCTGAACGATGAAAGTTTAATTAAACAACATTAAACACGCCTCGTAGTCATCCAGACAAGCTCAATCCTTTGTCAGCTTTGTTTTTGTCACGTGTGTACATGTAAACAGGCGTCAGTGACCGCACGCCTGCGATGCACACAGATTATTTTCACAGCACACATCACCCAGCACATTTCCTCTTATTTATTTAGTCACGTGAAGGAATTTTTCTAACATGTTTCCTCTTAATTTTATTGTATGAAGCAACTTTTAAATGCATATAGTTAACTTTTCTATAGTATTTACAATAAAAAAGGACAAGAGTCATAAGGAAACTACTATAATAACTAGATGATCCTGGTTAACAGGGTCAAATCCAGTTCAAGTTATAGATTATTTAAATTAACCTCTTTACCCGTTTATTCCATTTTGGGTCACGGGGGTCGCTGGTGCCCATGTCCAGCAATCACTGTACGAGGGGCGAGGTACACCCTGGACAGGTCGCAAGTCCATCACAGGGCCACATAGAGACAAACAAACAAGACAAACAACCATTCACTCTCTCACTCACACCTAGGGACAATTTAGAGTTACCAATCAGCCTAACATGCATGTTTTTGGTCTGTGGGAGGAAACCGGAGTACCCGGAGAAAACCCACGCATGCACGGAGAGAACATGCAAACTCCACTCAGAAGGACCCTGGACCGGGGTTTGAACCAGGGACCTGTTCGCTGAGAGGCAGCAGCTATCGTTAAAACACTTGACTCTAATTTCACCTTCAAATTCACTGATAATCCTAGAGGTTCATTTACTTTTACCATCACAAATATGTAATATTGGATCATTTTCCTCAATAAATAAATGAACAAGTATAATATCCTGATGCATGCTCAATAATCCAGGTAGAAAAATCTAAAAAAGTTAAATCTGGTCCTCTGGACATTCAAAAAAACAAAACAAAGCAAAACAACAAAAAATGTAGAAACGTTTCGTCTCTCGTCCGAG